AAGTATCTGCTACCAGTGGTCCTAAGTTTTGCATATCTAAAAGACTATTGGTCCACGGCCTCTAGAGCAGAAATTCCTACAAACTCAAGGGCTTTTGCTAAGCCAATGACTCAAATACATAGAAGGAACATGAATGGATTTGTGTGCATGGTGTGTCTGTCTGTCTGTCTGTGGTGGTACTGGGTTTTGAATTCAAGGCCTGGGCACTTCCCTCAGCTTTTTTTTTTTTTTTTGGTGCTGAGGAATCGAACCCAGGGCCTCATGCATGCAAGGCAAGCACTCTACCACTGAGCCACCTTCCCAACCCAATGCTGACCCCTTTGTCTACTAATTCTCTCCACAAAGGTCCCTGGTTCCCAGTGGACTTGCTCTCCTGCCCTCCTCTCCTCTAGCCTCACAGCCTTCCTCTGCCCTGGCCTCAGAGCTGGCTTACATGGAGTTCCTTCTCTGCAGTCCGGGGCTGGCTTCTCCACTGACCCCCTGTGGGCAGCCTCTCTTAGTGCAGTGGTGAGGCCAAAATAGATCACTGCCCAGCTTTCTCAGGCTTTCTCACAGCCATTCATATGAACCTGACGGGACGGGGCGGGGGGAGGGGGTGTATGTGCAGGGAACTGCTGGTTAAAGGGAAGAAGCCCACTCTCCCTCCCACTGAACGCCATAAAGAGAAAATAACAAGGTAAACAGGGTCAAACCAATGAAACTAATAGGATACCCTGGAGCCAATGAGGTTTTCTGGGGTTTTTTAATATTGTTTTTCATGCTCTCTGCTTCCTAGCCACCATGAGGTGATCAGGTCTACCACACTCTCCACCACTTTCCCCTCCTGCAGGCCTGACATAATCGAACCAGCTAGAGTAGACTGATACCCTTGAACCTGAGAGCCAAAATCAACCCTTCTGTTGAATGCTGGTGGCTCATGACTGCAATCTTAGCTACACAGGAGGTTGAGGAGATGTGAGGATCATGTTTCCAAGCCAACCTGGGCAGGCAAATCCATGAGACTCATTTGTCCAGTTAACTACCAAAAAGCTGGTAGAGGAGGTATGGCTCATGTGGCAGAGTTCCAGCCTTGAAAAAAAAAAAAAAAGCTAAGGAATAGTACCTAAGTCCTGAGTTCAAGCCCTGCCTGGTACTTCATAGAAAATAATAATAATAAATACTCTTTCTCCTTTTAACATGTTTGGCCAGGAATTTTGTCACAATGACAGACGGTCATCTTAGCATAAGATGAAGACCTTGTGTCCCACTGGAGCAAATCATACCCTATGCCAAAAGGATACAGCCTACTTTTCTCTTTTTGATTTGGGTTTTCATTTTTTAGTCAGTTTTGTTTTTGTTAGTTTTCTTTTGTCATGACTAAGGGAAACTTAGACTGGGCATTGAAACTTTATGGTAAGAAATTGGTGACACCCTAGCTAATTGCAAACAAAAGATAATGAAAATATCCTCTGCATAACACCTTCATAATAACATTAAAATTAGAAATTTTTAAAAAGAGATAATCAGCTTGTAAGTGCTTTATGCAATCACAGTTTCAGAGTTTTTGTCTTGCTTCTTTAGGACAGGGTACCTTTGCTCTTCTAATTATGCAAGAAAATCAAAGTGTGTTGATTTTAAAAGGCTCATTATCACCAAAAGCCCTATTTTTCTGTCACTATGGATCTAAAATTTCCCTAAATTATATTTAAATAAGTCTTTGATTTTTAAAAAATGCATTACAGGAGAATTCCATGTAGAGATCTTCAAGCAAAGTTTTTAAGGCCAAACCTTAAAGAGCAATCTGCTCTTTTTTGTTGTGTTGTTTGGAGCAGATGTGCAAATGATTTCAGAGAAAGCCGAGCATTCCTTACTAAAAACACTGAATCACCAGAAGCATATGGAATTTCGGATTATTTTGGTTTGGGAATATCTGCATACAAATAGAGATCTTTTTCTTTTCTTTTCTTTTTTTTTTTTTGGTCCGGTTGTGGGGCCTGAACTCTGGGCCTGGGCGCTGTCCCTCAGTTCTTCAGCTCAAGGCTAGCGCTCTACCACTTGAGCCACAGCGCTACTTCCAGCTTTTTTTCTTTTTACTTATGTGGTGCTGGGGAATCGAACCCAGGGCCTCAGGCATGCAAGGCAAGCACTCTACCACTGAGCTACCTTCCCAGCCCTCTTTTTCTTTTCTTTTCTTTTTTTTGTTGGTTGTAGGACTTGAACTCTGGGCCTGGGCACTGTCCCTTAGCTCTTCAGCTCAAAGCTAGCGCTCTACCACTTGAGCCACAGCACCACTTCCGGTTTTCTGGTGGTTAATTGGAAATTAAGAGACTCATAGACTTTCCTGTCCAGGCTGGCTTTGAACTGTGATCCTCAGATCTCAGCCTCCTGAGTAGCTAGGATTACAGGCATGAGCCACCAGCACCCAGCAAATAGAGAGATATCTTTGAACTAGGGTGCACATCTAGGCACAAAACTCATTAATGTTTTGCACTTTGCTTTCTACATAACATTCTGGGCAATGGGTTTAACAATCTGTGCCTGAAATAGCTTCACTCGGGGGGCAGGTCCTTCCATGCAGGAGAGAAGTTCGGGGCAGGGATGGGAGGGTTCTAGGGAAAGCTAGAGAGGACACCAGGGCACAGCTCATTGTGAGAACTTGGGTTTTGCTGGGAGTGGGCTGGAGAGCTTTCAAGGGATTTGAGAAGAGCAGGGCAGTGCCGGCTACCATTCCTGGTTTTCACAGTGATTGCTGGAATGGCAGAGGCAGGAGAGCGGGGACCTTTCCAATCTGCTCATCTCTCAACATGCAAGGGAAAAGGAGGACACTGTGGGCAGACCAGCCACAGGTGAAATGGGGCATCACCTACCGGGTGCACTTTAGATGGGTCATCGAGCTCCAACCTGCCCACCACACAGCCAGCTTCCAGCACGGCTCCTGGCCGCTTGATGTATTTCACGTGGCCACTCTCCTGCACGTTCAGGGTCATGATCATCTTCATCACCTGGTTGCAGAAAGAAGATGGAAGGCAGAGCCCATCGCCAGGGCTGGGCTGTGTGTGCGGCACAGAGTCCCACAAAAGGAGGGACTCTGTGAGCAAGGGCTGTGCCATGGAAACAGATCGACTGCCCCCATAGCCTCAAGCAGTAAGCTGGCTGTAAAGTGGGCACAGCACACTCATGAGATAGCTCAGCCTGCAAAAACAGCCAGGGAAGCAGGGAAATGGATGCTGTGTCTGTCTGTCTATCTGTCTGTCTGTCTATCTGTCAGTACTGGGGCTTACACTCGGGAGGCTTTTTGATGATCACTTGGAGATAAGAGTCTCTATGCGGGCTGGCTTTCAATTGTGATCCTCAGATCTCAGACTCCTGAGAGGAGGCTGGAGGATCATAGAGGTGAGCCGCTAGCACCCAGCAAGGTTTACCCCTTTTTAAGGGTAGTCATCGTGTGAATTAACCAGTTCTTTCCCATTCTTGGGGAGATTTTTTTTTTCCCACTGAGGATTGCCAGGCTGAGCCCCATGGTCTGGGCCTCCTAGGAATCTGCAGGCTGTGGTCAAGATGAGGGGGAGGCCCATCAGCTTGGGCACAGGCCATGTCGGGGGAGCAGGGGTTGGAGGCCGCAGAACCACGCCCAGGGCCGGCCCTGCAGTCACCTCCATCTCAGCGTAGCTGCTCCCCGCTTCCACATGGCCCCCATCCTCCACCGTGTACTGAGTCAGCTTCCCAGCCGACGGGGACCTCAGGATGGTGGGGTCGTTCTCCTTCTCAAACACACATGTCTTGTTGCCTATGGTGATCCGGTAACTGTGAGAGAGGAAGAGTGGGGGACCGGAGGGGGACACATAAGGACCCCAGACCCAGGAAGCCCTAGTCCAGCTCTGGGCAGCCTTTCACTTGTCCTAAAGGCTGCCAGGTTGTCACCTGTGGCTCGGAGTGAGCGACTCTACATTCCCAAATGGTGGCAACCGATGCTTATAATGGAGACATTGAAAGTGCGAGAGAGGAGCAAAGAACATGCTTCTTTTCTGGCTGAAACATGCTCTCTTCCCCCTCACCCCCACCGCGTTCTATGGTTTGAACTCAGCGTCACCTGCTAGGTAAATTCTCTACCACTTGAGCCATGTCCCAGCCACTAAATCTTCACCATCAACCCGATGGGGAAGACAAAAGGATACTGAGTAAAGATCACAGAAGCTTTCAATATTCTTGTGTGTGTGTGTGATGCACGCACACGTATGTGTACACACATGTGCTGGTCCTGGGGCTTGAGCTTAGGCTTGGATGCTGTCCCTGAGCTTCTTTGGCTCAAGGCTAGTGCTCTACCACATGAACCACAGCTCCTTTTCCAGCTTTTTGTTGGTATTGGAGACAAGAGTCTCAAGGACTTTCCTGCCGGGGACTGGCTTGAAACCACAATCCTTAGATCTCAGCCTTCTGAGGAGTTAAGATTACAGGTGTGAGCCACCCATGCCAGGCTAGAAGGTTCCAATATTCTTGGTGGATAGAACATAGATTAGAAAAGAAATAATAAAGCTGGACATGATGGCACATGCCTGTAATCCCAGCACTTGGTAGGCTGAGGCAGGAGGATTGTTAAGGTCTAGGTCAGCCTGAACTATAGAGGGAGGGAGGGAGGGAGGAAAGATGAGAGGAAGGGAGGGAAAGAGGGAGAGAGAGAGAGGGAGGAGGGCCACTGTCAGGTGTCAATCTCCTCTGCCTTAAACATCAAGGACTATAGAACACACACACACACACACACACACTAACTGCACATACACATGCAGGCACACACACATATACACATGTATCTATACTGCTGCTGGAAGGCATATCTACTCTACAACCATCCTGTGTGAACATGGTGGCTCAGACACAGGTAGGCCCCTGGCTACCCTCCTGGCCAAATATAAGGCCCCTCCCTCAGCTCTGAATCCTTCCAGGTCCCTAGAAAGACGACACCTGGAGCCCCCCCCCCTCCCCAAGGTCCTGCCGGGCCCCCAACCTCTCTCCGGACACCCTCAGAATGTGCCCGATGGACCTCGTTCAGGGCCCAGTCCGCTTGGCATTTCCAGCTCTGCCCACAGGTGTGGGCAGCCACGCACCTGTCCACCTCTTCCTTCAGGTAGGTAGTGTAGCTGTTGCCGTTGTAGGAGAGCAGAAGACCCCCGTCGTTCAGCCGGTGGGCGTCGATCTCGATGTGGCAGCCATTCATGATGAGAACGAACGTGGTCAGGGACTGCCGGGCCACCTGCGGGGGAGGGGGATGTCACCCCTGCTGTACAGTGGTGGGGAAGCGCTGGCTGCCAGTGCGGGAGTGGAAGCCCCATTCTCCCCAGCCCCAGGTTCCTACGTAGAAACCTTACATCAAACGTAGTATTAGGAGGCGGGGCCTCTGGTGATAGCACATCTAGAGGATGGAGGATTCATGATAGGATTTGTGCTCTTATAAAAGGACCCAGAGCCCGGCTCCAGTGGCTCACACCTGTAATCATAGCTACTCAGGAGGCTGAGATCTGAGGATCATAGTTCAAAGCCCATGAGACTCTTCTCTCCAACAAACCATTCAGAAAACTGGAAGTGGCGCTGTGGCTCAAGTGGCAGAGCGCTAGCCTTGAGCTGAAGAGCTGAGGGACAGCGCCCAGGCCCAGAGTTCGAGCCCCACCACCAAACAAACAAACAAGAGACACCTCCCCTCCCCTGCCCCGCCCCTTCTACCATGTGAAGGCAGTGGGAGAAGGTACCAGCTTCAGGCTGGGAAGTGGCCCTCACCAGACACCAAATCTATACTTGTAACTTTGACCTTGAACTTTCCAGCCTCTTGTGAAAGAAGAGATAGAGGAGACACAGGCACAAAGGAAGATAATCACACACACACACACACACACACACACAGAAGAAAGCCACATAAATATGATGGGACTGCAAACTAAAATATCAGGGGCTGCCAGCAGCTCCCAGAAGCAGGGAGGGCTAGGACAGCTCCCTTCCTGACGCCCAGCTGGCACCTTGACTGTACCCCCACCTCCTGGTCTCTCCGGCCACCAGACGGCGGCGCTGTCACCATACCACAGCAGTCTCCCAGACAGTGTGTGGGGATCTCTGCACATGGCTCGGACTCACATAGCCAGCCCAGACTATGTGGGAAACCTAGCTGCTCAGACTCAAGCACAAGAAAAATCTACTCCACATTTCAGGGGCGGTTCATGGGTGACGTAAATTCCCTCAAGCATCCGGAACACTGGAAACATCGGAGAGGCCCAAGGGCCTTTTACCTTGAGAATGTACTTGACACCTCCGTAAATTAACTCTACGTCCACAATGTTCAACAGCGAATCTGCAGGGAGGACCTGGCCCCTGCAAGATAAGATAGACTTGCCATCAGACTGGATAGGGACCAATCACAGACCTGCCGTCAGACTGGATAGGGACCAATCACCAATCAGTCCCCCCCTCCCCCCCCCCTGAATTCAGCAAGATCACCCAGGGGGACTGGTGGTTGTGGCTCAGTGGCAGGTTGTAAGAGTTCCTGACCCTAGTACCAAAAAATACATAAAATCTCTTGCTAGTGCAATAGAAAATTAAATTTGATTAAAAGGCATGGGACACAGACCATATCTGACATTAATTCCTCAGAACTCGGCATTTTGAAGGATATGAACCTTTTTTTCTTTTTCTTTTTTTCTTTTCTTTTTCCTCTGTGTGTGTGTGTGTGTGTGTGTGTGTGTGTGTGTGTGTGTATGTGTGAGTGTCCTGGGGCTTGAACTCAGAGCCTAGGCACTGTCCTTGAGCTTTTTTTTTTCACTCTACTACTTGAGCCACAGCTCTACTTCTAGCTTTTTGGTGGTTAATTGGAGATAAGGGTCTCTTGGGAACTTTGAAGGATTGACTCCCACCCTGTTTTCCCAAGTGGATACAGAGATGTTCCTGCTTAGACTGGACTTTAAACCATGATCCTGAGAGCTCAGTCGGCTGAGTAGCTAGGATCACAGGCGTGAGCCACCAGCACTTGGCAGATATGAACTTTTAACAAGGCGTTCTGGGGAAAGATGAAGGGTGAGTAATTTCAAAATACAGTGCAACCATATAAAAAGATGGTACAAGTAGCCTCCACAATCAGGGAGGCTACTACTAGTCAATAAGGGGTTGGATGGGGAAAGAGAGAGCCATGGGGAGGGTTATTCTGACCATAGTATATGCGAGTCTGAAATGTCATGGTGAAACCCCTGGGAGTAATTAATACACACTAAAACAGGAAGAATAATAAGAAAGTAAAATGGGCTCTGTTGAGGGGTAGGCACCAGCGAGAGGGGTCGGGAGGAATGAAGAAGAGGGTGGATGAGGATGACCGTGGCTGATGCAGTTTATTTGCGTGTATGGCAATAAATACAGAGCAACAAAACCTGTTGAAATTATTTTCTAAAGCTGGGAAAGTGATGGAAGGGGTGAGGTTGCTCAGGATACATGTGTGCACATTTCTCAACAAAACACACCTTGTACAACCTGTACCTGCTGAATGAGTGAATAAGGACATAACGTAAACAGCTTTCGGGGGAGCCCAATCTATCATGGCTTCTCAGAAAAGCTTCCTGTATGGGGAGTGTTCATTGCTGGGAAAGAAGCCAGCGGGGATTCTGGCTCTGTCATCACGCATGAACCTGACTGCTACCTGTGCTAAACCACCTTGCCCCTCTTGCCCAGTGGTTTCCTGTGGTTCTCACATGGGAGGTGATTCGGCTCTATTCCAGGGACACTCAACACTGACTCGGGGGAATGGGCTCCTGGCATCAAGCAGGATGGCTGTCACCCAACCAGGCACACAGAACGGCCCCACTGGGATCCACAATGCTATTCTAACCATCACGGGTGCTGAGGTGGAGAGCTGATGGTAAGCAGCTGGCCATGCCCTAGCTTTCCAGTAGTCTCCTGGTAGCCAGGTGAGGACCAGGGAAAGAAACATCAGGAGAGATGATCTTTGATCTACTCCGCTTCTCAATGCACCTCCATGCTCTCTGAACTTCATGTCAGCAGGAAGCTGTTTTGGACTGTCTGTCCAGGCCTCAAGGACCCCCCAGCCCCACCTCTACCCTACTTCACGGAATTCTCCACCCCACCTCCCCCGCCACCCAATCCCCTTCCCCGACTCTTCCAGGGCAGCTCTGGTTGGAAACTGCAGAAGCAGCCTGGTGGGAGGAGCTCACCAACTGCCTGGTCACCGATTGGTCACCTAAATAAAGCACACGTTGCCTTCCATGGCCTCCACAAATACCCCCCCAAGATGGACAAGGCTGATGATGCCCAGTACCTTTCCAGGGAGTGCAGGAAATCCGTCATACAGTCTCTGAACTTCGCATCGGCCACGTTCAAGGCCCCACATACCACCCCGAGCATGATGTCTGGCTTCTCTGCCTAGGAGACACGGGGGGGGGGGTGTCAGTGTCAGTGTCCTGTCCCCAGCCCCCATCCGCAGGGGGAGCCACAGACACGGGCGCCTCCCCACCTGCACTTTCTCAGCGATGAGGTGATCCAGCCACCCGGTGTCAATGTCGTTGTTCTGGAAGCTCTCAGTCTCCAGCAGGTTGATGAGATATTCCACCGTGGTCCTGAAGTCACCCCGGATGGACAGCTCCTTCAAAGCCACCACCATGTTCCTAGAGAGGGAAGGGCACGCCACTAGCTTCCAAGTCCATGCAGAATGTCTGTGGACATTCTGTAGCATGGTTTTTAGAGTGCCAGAAAGACACAAGAGGTAAGAGGGGCCCTGGGACAGAGGGGTGTCACTTCAGCTTTAACATGGACAGGCTGAGGAACCTCATACCAGTGGCTTAACCACTCCCCGGACAGCGGTTCACCTCATCTGGAAAATGGGGGAGTAACTGTGACGTCATGAGGACCCCTGAGGATCACCATGAGATTCTCGGTGTAAAGTTACTGACAATCATCGGCAAATGTCAGCTGTGTGTGTGACGACCATTTCATTCTTATTAACTATGGCTGTCATTCATGGTGGATGGAGAAACAGCCCGTCTCTCTGGCTGATGCTCAGTCTGTCTCACCCAGGATCTAATCGGATCTCTCATCCCCAGCACCCAGGCTGCTTTCTTGCCAGCCACACCACTGTGTCTTCTGAGGACAAGTATCACTGTGACCTGGCTAAGGAGGAAATGGATGGAAAAGAGGTGAGGTATGAATGCACCTCTTCTTGGAGGTGAGGCTTTTCCACTTGTGAGCAGGTGTGGGGCAGGGGCAACAATGGCTTCAGTATAAAAGTGAGAAAAACAGAAGCAGCACTGTGGCTCAAAGTGGTAGAGTGCTAGCCTGGAGCAAAAAGAGCTCAGGGACAGCGCACAGGCCCTGAGTTCAAGCCCCACAATCAACAAACAAAAAGAAAGGTCAATTCATTATAAAGTGAACTGGGTTTTACTTCTCTTTGTGCCTATGTCAAGACAGGAGAAATAAGATGGGGTGCTTCATTGGAATTTAGGGGGGTCCTGTCGACTGGGTTTTCAGCCCTGCAGAAACCTCACTAAATGGGGGATATGGGCCTTGGGGTACACAGCAGGGCACGTCCTCCTAAGAAACTTCACTTGGGGGCTGGGAAGGTGGCTCAGTGGTAGAGCGCGTGCCTAGCATGCATGAAGCCCTGGGTTTGATTCCTCAGTACCACATACACAGAAAAAGCTGGGAGGCAGGGAAACGGTTCAGCAGCAGGGAGGGAGCACCGGTGGGCAGGCAGGAGGGCCGGGGAGCAATACTCACGAAATGGCCTCTTCACGGTTCTCGCCCCAGGAGAAGCAGTGCCCAAATTGGGAGTCAGCAAACTCATGTAGGCCTCCGGCGGCTGCCACGCTGAAGTAGCCCCATACATTCTTGCTGCTGCGGAAGTTCAGTTCCTGGACTGTCCCCGAGCTCGGCTTAAACCCCTGATGCCCCATTGGGGAAAAGCAAGATGGAAGAAGTCATTACTCTGGATATATTTTCACCAGAACTCAATTCTGGCAAGGGCCAGCAGCCCTACCTGCCCCCGCAACGTTTAGCCAACATTGTTATCTCCCGCTGTGGATCCATGTCTTTAAATATACATATGTACATATATAAATACATAGTTATATATAATATATAGAGAAAAGAGTTGGCTAGGAGGCTCAACTTTTACTTTGTATATATCAGTTACAAATACATTTAAAAGCCAGGCACCAGTGGTTCACACCTGCAAACCTAGCTAGGTAGGAGGCTGAGATTGGAGGATTAAGGTTCAAACCCAGCCAGAGGAAGGAAAATCCTTGAGACTCTCTCTTTTTTGTGTGTGTGACAGTTCTGGGGTTTGAACTCAGGGTGGGCACTGTCCCTGAGCTGCTTTTGCTCAAAGCTACTTGCTTTACCATTTGAGCCACAGCACCACTTCCGGCTTTTTCTGTGTATGTGGTACTGAGGAATCAAACCTGGGGCTTCATGCATGCTAGACAAGTGCTCTACCACTAGCCACATTCCCAGCCCCTTGAGACTCTGATCTACATTTAATCACCAGAAAAAGCAGCAAGTGTGACTATGCCTTACATGGTAGAGCACCCTTCTTGAACAAAAAAGCTAAGGAACAGAGCCTAGGTTCTAAGTTCAAGCCCCAGTATGAGCATAACACACATACAGACACACACACACACACACACACACACACACACACACACACCCCACACACACACACATATAAAATTTAGGGCTACATTCCAGTAGCTCAAGTGTAGAGCATCTGCTTAGCAAGGACAAGGGCCTGAGTTCTACCAAAACCCAAACAAAATATGTTACATGTGACATATATATACACACAGATCTATTTAATTTGAAGAAACAGGCATGATGGCACACACCTATGATCCCAGCACTAGGAAGGCTGAGAATTGCGAGTCTGAGGCCAGCCTAAGCTACGGAGCAACAGCCTGTCTCAAAAGTTATGTATGTGTATTAATTTCAAAAATGAGAGGAAGCTGGGCGCTGGTGGCTCATGCCTGTCATCCTAATTACTCAGGAGGCTGAGATCTGAGGATTGTGGTTCAAAGCCAGCCTGGGCAAGAAAGTCCATGAGACTCTGATCTTCAATAAACCACCAGAAAACCAGAAGTGGCACTGTGGCTCAAGTGGTAGAGCGCTAGCCTTAAGCTGAAGAGCTGAGGGACAGCGCCCAGGCCCAGAGTTCAAGCCCCACAACCAACAAAAAAAAAGAGAGAGAGAGAGGAAATAAAATGAAGTCAGAGTAAATTACCGAGACCCATGACAATCAGTTGGCAAGCATGTGAACTGTGACATGCCAGTGGCCCTTTACAAAATCTAGAAAGACAAGCCACAGAGGGAGTGTGGGACTCCATATTACAGACAAAGCACAGGGGGGGTCAGAATCCCAAGGACCTAGGCTCTGCACCGGATGAGCGCCAGATGGAGAGTTACCTACAAGACTCACCCACCTGGGCAGGCTCTCCAGGCAAGGTGTGAGGATCTGCGTGGTGCCTGGCACATGTCACAGGTAGAGGAAGCCGATTCAAACAAGACACGTTCCTTCCGTGCCTCATTTTCTTCATCACTGAGTTCAGAAGCCCACACACCCAGGGAGATAGAAGATGCTAGAAACCCGAGGGCCCCATACTTGCCTCGTCCGGGTTTTCGCTGGTGATCCTGGCTGCAATGACATGGCCCCTGGCGATTGGAGGGTTGGTGGGGGTCTCAAAGGAAATGGGCGTCACCCCCCATGGAGACTCTCCATAGAGAAGCCGGATGTCCTTCAGCCTGTACAGGGGCACACCCATGGCAACCTACAATGCAGAACCCATACCACCGAATCAGTTCCATCCCCTGGCAATCCCTGCCCCAAATGGCCCAGTGATGAAGGAAGAGGCTCAGTCAACAATTTCAGACATACGGAGCCTGTCTACAGGTTTCTGTAGTATAGTGGGATAGGAGAAGGAAGAGGAAAAATCTATAACGCAAGACAGCAGAGCAGACAGTGTGTGAAAAGAAGAAACAAAGTCACACAAGGAAACATGTGCATGGAAGAAAAACACCTGGACACCCAGAGCTACCAGGGTGGGAAGCGACTGGCTGTAATGCTCGGGCAGGAGGCTCTGTGAAGGTGACAGGGACACTGGCATGAAGAAGCAGCAAAACCCACACACTTGGGGGCTGGGAAGGTGGCTCAGTGGTAGAGTGCTCGCCTCACATGCATGAGGCCCTGGGTTCGATTCCTCAGCACCACATAAGCAGATAAAGCTGGAAATGGCGCTGTGGCTCAAGTGGTAGAGTGCTAGCCTTGAGCTGAAGAGCTGAGGGACAGCGCCCAGGCCCAGAGTTCAGGCCCCACGACTGGCAAAAAAAAAAAAAAACCCAGACACTTCTGGCCACCAGCTGTATGTTGCACATCTTCACAATTCACTGCTTGGACCTCTTCTCAGGATGCACTAAGAACGTGTGATCACTCTTGTAATAATTCTGACAGAATGTGATATGATCTGGAAGAAACCGCCAGACAGATCCAGATTCACAGACAGGCAGCCAAATGCTGCAAAAGTGCCAATGCTGCAGGAGGCCATAGGTTTGGTACCCAGCACACACACAAAAAAAGCCAATGGCAAGAGTGGAGAAAATGTAGCTGGGTATCGGTGGCTCACACATGAAATCCTAGCTATTCAGGAGGTTGAGATCTGGAAATCCATAGTTCAAAGCCAGTTCTCAGGCAGAAAAGTACTTACGACTCCATCTCTAAGCAAAATGTTAGACAGGAGGTGTGGCCCAAGTGATAAGAATATAAGCTATGAGCAAGATAGAGAGTGCAAGATTCTGAGTTCAAGCCCTTATGCCAACCAAAATTGAAACAAAGCAAACAACAACAACAACAAAAAAAAACTGTGATTGGGAAATACTGCAGATTAAAAAGACTCAAGAAGCATGACAATGAAATGCAAGGTGTCCTCCTGGGTTGGATTCTAGATTTCACACAAATAAAAGCAGCTGTAAGGCCTCTGAGGACACCAGGAAGCAGAGCATTGCTACTGGAGACAGCACAGTAACCAGGCCACAGCAATGCTCTCCTTCCCAAAGGAACCAGCTATATCACACACTACACTGGACTGCCTGTTCTTGGGACGCTTCACCTCTATTACAATATTTACGGGCCACCTCACAAAGGTTCAGCCCAATCATCCCCCAAAAGACTGACTCCAAAATGTTTCCCCAAAGAAATTATACAGACAAAAAAAAAAAAAGTATGTAGACTAATGAGGTATGGGGGAAAATAGGTAGGTAGGTAGGTAGGTTGGTAGTTGGATGGATGGATGGATGGATGGATGGATGGATGGATGGATGGATGGATGGATGGATGGCGATGTCCTAACTGGTGAATGTAGCTACAGGATGTATTATACACACAACTCTCCTGCAATTTTTAAAGAATATAAATACAGGCTGGGAATGTAGCTTAATGATAGAGTTGCTAGCCTAGCATGCATGAAGCCCTGGGTTCGATTCCTCAGTACCATATAAACAGAAAAAGCCAGAAGTGATGTTATAGCTCAAATGGTAGAGTGCTAGCCTTGAGCAAAAAAAGCTCAGGGACAGCATCCAGGCTCTGAGTTCAAGCCCCATGACTGGGGGGAAAAATATAAAGACATCAAGTAAAACAAAAAAAAAAAACAAACAAAAAACAATCTGGTGACGAGAAGAAGGGAAGGCATGAAGGCAAGAGGGAGGAACAGACAGAAAGAGAAAGAGAAGGAGGAAGGAAAGGAAGAACAGAGGAAGGATATATTAAATTTTTAAGAGTTCTTATGAACGCAGGAGTTCATACCTGCAGGTCATGTGTCTTCAATGTGACACTGTCCCCCAGGGGGTGTGGAAAAAAAATTTCCTCTTTATTTATCTGTGCAAAGCACAGATAAATTTATGGAACATGAATGCATACAGTATCTCAGTCAGGACAGCTCCCAGGAGAAGGATTGGAGACAATGTCTTTAAGATCTGATCATGAAATGAACGGTTAAGAAACATTTTTCTGGACGGTCAGCTAGGTGTGGGGCGAGAAGGCAGGAAGGGCTAATAGGAGCAGGAAGAGGGTGAGAGGCAAGGTAGGGGTGAGGTGGAGAGGATCTGCTCACCTGCAGCTGTGCAGCCGGCAGGTTGACGTCGGCAATCATCTCTGTACAGGGATGTTCGACCTGCAAGCGAGGGTTCAGCTCCAGGAAGTGGAAGCTGCCGTCCTGGCTGTACAGGTATTCCACGGTTCCGGCACTCACGTAGCCCACGGTCTTGGCCAAGAGCACCGCACACTGCAGGAAGAGGTATTGGTTTCCAGCAATTGCCTTAGGAATCAGAAGGGACTGTGGACTCCCTCGCCCAGTGCCCACTGATGACCTGTGATAAGGGAAACGCTTTGGGACCTCAGCAATCGGCCAACACCCACAATACACCTGTGTGGCCTTGAAATCCCTGCAGCCGCCCCCCCCCCTCCAGCCCCAGCTCTGTGAAGCATACCTGCTCCATGAACTCAAACACAGCTGCGGTGGCGATGGTAGCCGGCGCCTCCTCGATGATCTTCTGGTGGCGCCTCTGGATGGAGCAGTCCCGCCCAAACAGCGACACTGCGTTCCCATACTGGTCAGCTAGCACCTGGACCTCCAGGTGCCTCGCGTGCTGGGCCAGCTTCATGAGAAAGATGGGAGAGCCCGGGATCTCACTCTGCACCTGCAGGGGAAATACAGCTGCTGGCTCTCCATGGGGAAATCAGCTCCAGAAACTTCTGGAAGTCTTCAAAAGACAGCATCAAACAACAGCACTGATTTCTCTGTGATTCTGCAGTGTGTGTGTGTGTGTGTGTGTGTGTGTGTGTGTGTGTGTGCGCGCGTGCGTGCGTGCGTGCGTGCCAATACTGCAGCTTGAACTCAGGGCCTCTGTGCTCAAGAAAAAGACCCAATTACAAAGAGTATTTACATCTGACAGAGAAAAGACTGGGAGGGGATGAGGAAAGGAGCTTTTATTTACCCCAATATAACCCTGGACTTGTTTGAATTCTTACATTAGGAACATTAGGCTGGGGATGTAATTCAGCCAGGTCCTGAATTCAAAACCCATTAAATTAAAATTAAGTAAAAATTTATATATATAATATATATATATATGCATGTGTGTTCAGAGCCAAGTACAGTTCATGCCTGTAATCCAAGCTGCTCATAAGGTAGAGACCAAAAAGATCAGAGTTAGAAGCTAACCTAGACAGAAAGCTTAGTAAGACCCCATCCCAACCAATAAAGCAAAGCATGGTGCTGTGGGGGTGCCTATCACCCCAGCAATGTGAGGTGAGGGATAGTGGGAAGATAGAAGAACAGAAGCCCAGGCCCTGAGTTCAAGCCCCTGTACTGATGTGTACACACACACAAATCTTTAACACAAAGTTGGGACATAGCCCAGTGGCAAAGCATTTGTCTAGCATGCTGAAGGCCTAGGTTTGATTACTACCACCACTCACAAAAATAATAAAAGTAAAAAAAAAAAAAGGCCACAGACCCAGCTCCTGAAAACCCCTCCTGGAAGATCAGAAAATGATGCTGAGAGAACTCATCAGGTGGCCAACGAAAGACAAGACCCCCACGAGGGCGCAGGGACCGCTCACTTGTCTGAACAGCATGGGAAAATCCTCGGCGCTCTCAGCCTTACGAATTCCTTTCCCTCCACCACCTTCGGAAGCCTTGATCATCAATGGAAAACCAATCTTTTCTGCTGCCTGAGGGCCAAGGACAAACGAGCCTCTTCAGAGATGAGACAGGAACCAATCAACCACTACCAGGATGAGGAGGCAAGTCTAGCACCCAGGTCCCCGCACTAGCTCCGCCATTACCTCCAAGCCCTCGTCTACGTCCTTCACACAGCCCAGGCTGTAGACATCTTCGGGGACGTGGATGGGTGTCCCCTGCTGCAGGTTCTCCTCTGCCCACTCCACCGTCAGGCCTGGAGAGGCACAAAGCAGGCTGAGACCATCAGGCCCTGGGATGGCAGAATACACAGCCTGGGAAGCACCCAAGCTGCTCCGGACCAACAAAGCACAGAGCCATCCTTCCAGCCTCCTTTGCTGCCTCTTCCATGCCTTGAGACTGACCTGGCACTTGCCCCCCCATTCTCCCCCCCCCAGGAAATCAAGTTGACACCGCCTCTACCTAGAGCAACACGGACTGCACTCCAAAAAGAATCCCAACCACCCAAAGGAATCATTTTTTTTTCTTTTCAGGGGCCCTCTATTGGGTCTTGAACTCAGGACCTTGTGCTATTCACTGGGTAGTTTGTTGTTTGTGTGTGTGTGTGTGTGTGTGTGTGTGTGTTTTTAATTTAAGGGGGCATCTACCATTTGAGCTATACCCCCAATTCTGGTTAACTGGAGTTAAAGAATCTCATGGACTTTTCTGCCCAGTCTGGCTTCAAACCTCCATCCTCAGACCTCAGCCTCCTGAGTTGCTTGGATTACAGGTATGAGGCACCATGCCTGGCTAAACGTAAGAATTTCTAAAAGCACACTCCTGTTCCCCGACTAGACGGAGAGGTTCCCCTAAAACAAAGGCCAGAATCTCTTACCGCTTCCACTCCAGGGCAGGGTTGGGATCTGCAGGGTCTGAGCCACGATGGTGGAAGCAATCTTATCTCCTAAGGCCCACATGGCTTCACTGGGGGGACCTGGGGAGTCAGGGAAAGGACAGCAGAATGGACTCAGTCGGAAGACTCTGGAAGCCGAGTAGCAAATAAGCGCACAGTGGCAAGGCCAGATGGAGGGCAAAGGATGGGGAAAGAAAGGAGAGAAAGGCAGGAGGGAGAGGGGAAGGAAGAGAAGAGAAGAGAAGGGAGAAGAGAAGGGAAGGGAAGGGAAAGGAAGGGAGGGGAAAGGAAGGAAGTAAAGAGAAGGGGAGGGAAAGAGGGAAGGAAGAGAGGAAGGGAAGTAGAGAGGGAGGGAAGGAAAGAAGGAGGAAAGAAGGGAAGGAGGGAGGGAGGGAGGGAAGGATTCAGATCCAGCTCCCCGGGAGCTTTAATCTCACACCAGGTAAGGAAAGACTCAGCCACTCTGCTACTGCATCCACCAACATCTGGTCTGAAAACCTCTCTAGGTTATAACTCAGCTGTGTGGTGAACACATTCATTCACCCTGTCGGGAGGCAAAAGGCTAGGCGGAGGACACAAGCTAGCATGTAAAGAAAGAGCTGGACTGTGGGGTGGCGAAGTGTTTCTATGCGGACCAGGCTGCCGGCCTCCTGGGCCTGCAGGCTCTGTCACAGGGGACTCCACATCCCAGGACGGCCGCTCCTCATTCGATTTTTAACCTTTTTGGTCATTATTCCCGAATGAATGCGGTATACCACAGCTCTGCTGTGCAGCAAGCATTTTAAGTCATCTGACAGGGATAGCTGGGCAGGAGGTTGCACACAAATATAATGCTGCTTCATACAGGGAGGGGTCTGAGCGGCGGAGGACTTTGGTGTCTTTTGGGGAGTCCTGAAAGCGATACCCTGATGGCACTCATGATGTCCTGTGTTAACAAATGTACACAAGGACGGACTTAACAAGCATGTGCGCAAATAAAACTCCAGGCGCCTCCAAACAATAATTTTTTTTATCTAATCACGTCAGATGGTGATCAAGGAGTCAGGCCTGAGAACAACCCAGATAAACACGTGGTCCTCTCAAAAATATCACACACACACACACACACACAGAGAGTCAGAAATCTGAACTTGCCCACAACCATCAGACCAACAGAAACAACGACAGAGGGCTCCACTGGCCTCCTGTAAGTCTGCTGTGGTAACCATGGTGACATGGGCCCGCCCATCCCTGAGTCCACCTGGGCCTCATATGGAGAAGCAGAGGAAATGCTGAGCAAGCCTCCTCCCACCCCATGCCGCAGTGCTCACAACCCTGCTGGATGGAACCTTCTACCTAAGAAAGCAATCCCATGCTTGCACAGCAGCTCCGGAAGTTTGGGGTTTTCGGAAGCATGGCCCCAGCCAGCCCACACGGCCTGTAAATACAGAAAGGGATGAACTCAGATCCTTCCATCTTCAAGAACCCAGCCCCCATCCACCCAGAGCTCTGGGCCATGTCCTACGAACCACGCTGAACGGTGGAACTCAGCTGCTCCAGAGCTCAGGGCGCCACCCCGCTGTGGGCACCGGGGCCAGCCTTACCTGCACAGGGATCCTCTTGGCAATGTCCACAATCAGTTCCACGTTGGCATAGTTATTGTTATTCGGTCCTCCTGGTACAGGGACGTACTGGTCTGCCATCTTGATGTACTCTGGGATGGAGCAGGAAGGAAAGGGGAACAACTATGGAGAGACTGAAGTCAAGGCAACCACATTCTGGCCATGACGGCTGTGGACAAATGGAATAAAGTTGGAATAAAACTCAGTGCGGTTTTCATTCGGTGAAAACAAGGGTGCCCTGGAAAAGGCCTGGAAGAAGAGAAAGGAAGCAGACTGCCAAGATGGTGGAGGATTCGAGGCTGGCAGGGACATGAGGCCTACCTGCCCCAGGTAAAGGATGTGAAATTTCAGCACAGCATGGGGAAGGCCCACGGGATAATGCTCTGATCTCAAGGCCAGGGTTCCCATCCAGCCTGCGTCACATGCTGCTTAGGCAACGGTGGGCAAGTGGTAAACGTATACCCCTGGGTCTCAAATGGTTTCATCTGTCAAAGGGGGCTGAGAAACAAGCAAGGCTGTGACCACGCAGGGGATGATGCCGAGGTTGCTGGCACCAAGGATAGTGTTGTGGCCTCTGAAGCAGTGTATGTGTGCGTGTGTGTGTGTGTGTGTGTGTGTGTGTGCATGCACGCACATGCCAATACTAGAGGTTGAACTCAAGAGCCTCCCTCTTGGTTTTTGGGGAGGGTTTTTTTTGTTCATGCCTGGTGCTCTACCATGTGAGCCACACCTCCTATCCAGCTTTTTTACTGGCTAAATGGAGAGAGTCTTGCAGATTTTTCTGCTCAGACTGGCTTCCAATGGTGATTCACATCTCAGCTGCCTCAGGTGTGAGGACTACAGGTGTGAGCCACCAGCACCCCGGCTTCTGAGGCATTCTTAAAAGGGTATGATGAGACTCAAAAGATAATGTAGGCTGCTGTGTGGAGAAGGAGCTATAAAGAGACAAGACTCCTCAGGCAGCGGGAGAATCATCTAATACAGAGTGCTTCCTTTTAAGAGACATAGGTGAGCAAGTAGAAGACCAAACAAGTGACTGCAACATAGCAGAGAACAGCAGCAGGGGGAAACATCTGGAAAAATAAGACCCCAAGCTGCTAGAACAATGACAGGATTTCCATTCTGTGGAGTAACGACCACTGCTCTCTTCTAAGGCATATGGTTTGCTCTTGTGATCAGCAGGCATTGTCATTAAATAAGGAAGAAAGGAGCCAGGGGTGGGTGGCTCAGGCCTGTCATCCTACTTACTCTGGGGGCTGAGATCTGAGGATCACAGTTCAAAGCCAGACCAGACAAGAAAGTCCATGAGACTCTTAAATCCAATTAATCACCAAAAAGCCAAAAGTGGAGCTATGAGTCAAGTGGTAGAGCACTAGCCTTGGGCAAAAAAGCTTAAGGGACAGCGCCCAGGCCCTGAGTTCATGACACAGGACCAACATAAAACATATACATATATAAAGGAAGAGCAAATAAACATGGATTTGGGAAGGTATCTTGGGACTCTGGCACCAGGAGGAGGAGGAGGAGAGAGAGAGCAGGGAAAGATGACCAGGGGAGGGGTGAGGTTCCTGTACCTGCGTTGGCCTTGAGGTCCTCCGGGGTCACCATGACCACGAAGCGTATGGCTCTCTCATTGCGGAACATCTCATAGGCCCACCTGCGGATGGAACGCATGCACTTCACCGCAGCGATGCCGTTGTTGGCAATGAGCACCTGCACAGGTAAACCACAAAGGAGGCAGATGCACATCTACCTGTGCTGGCAGCTGCCTGACACCGCCACGCACATCTCATGAGGGCAGAGCCTGACGGCCCACAGCACTCCTCAACCACCCCTCACAGCCCAGCACTGAGCAGGTGCTCAAAGTCTGCCAGCCCTACGAATGGATGGCCGAGGGAATGGATAAAGAACGGATGATGGAGTGAATGGATGAGGGGACAAGAGGCAGGCTTTTTTTTTCTCCTTTGAATAATACAAATTTATTTTAGAAATCAAATATACACTTCCAATTTTCTATGTAAATCCAAATGTTTAGAAATTAGATTTAGTTACAATTTTAACTAGTGTGATTTTTACAACTGGGTGGCACTTACAGTTGAAATAAGAGTTGCTCTTGGCAGAAGTTATTTTAGCTTTTCATGCTTGACTGTCACACCACACTAAATATTTTTATTTTAGATAATATTTACTCAGACGAATAAAATATAATGGGACACTTGCTTAAGAAATGATTTGGGGGAAAAAAAGAAATGATTTGGGTTATAATCAAAGGAATGTAACTACAAATCTGTAGAAAGGCACTTGGCATGTAAAATTCCAATACAAAGCTACTCTCCAAAATTTTACAGATCTAAAGAATGACTCCTAGTTAACATGCTTTCTGCTTTAGTGCTTAAAAGAAGCGGCAGGCTTTTGAGCACTACTATGATCAACGCTGGCATTTCTTAGTGTTCAATACGTACCACACCGTAGTGCAAGCGTGTTTTACCTGCTTTTATCCTCACCACCTCCCTTTGAAAGAGGATTTTACCATTCTCCTAGCTAAGGGTTAGAGACACTCAAATTCAGCTGTGCTGCTCACATCTATCATCCCAGCTATGTGGAAAAAGGTCAGGGACAGTGCCCAGGACCTTATTACCAAAGCAAAGGTTGGAGAGGAGGGCAGGGGGAATGAATGGCCCCCTATCTGTTCTAGAACACTCTAGGAAGCCCAAGGAGAAGGGTCCAATGGCTGCTCTAATCCCCAGGCTGTGGCAGAGGACAAGCCAAGGTCGAGGTGAAGACAGAACGCGTACCAGGCCTCTTCCATCGCTCTGGCCTAAGCTCCTGGAAATTCAATGCCGGCCACAAGTTGGGCTGGCTGTGAAACGGTCTCTGGCCAAGTGTGGCAAAAACACACTTTCTGGATCCTTCCCAGGTGATTAAATCTGGGGCAGGGTGGAAGCATGCCTGTGTTCGGCCGGCCGGTCAGGCTGGGGAATCTGAAAACTGCACTACTGGGGTCCAACAGCCAGTTCAAATCCCAGCTTCTCAGCCTCAGTCTCTTCATCTGTAAAATCACTAACAGCACATGTGGGACGGCTGAATGAGACAGGACAATGTAGCGGAGGTGACGGGAGGCCTCCCACCCCACCCTCAATAAGCCATGCTGTTGCTGTGCTCAACTGCTCCCAAATAGATCAGACCAAGCCTCTGCAACCACGTGACCCAGGTTCAAATCCTGGCTCTGCCACTTTCTAGCCAACAACCTATGTCAATCTCTGTATGCAGTTCCGCTAGGAATACAGCAGGAAGCACCAAAGAGTAGGGTTCTTGGCTTTTGTGAGAGAGAAGAGGGATGGTGTGAGCATTCATAAATGGCAACTGGTCCAAACTGGGGGTGTCTGGGTTGTATGCGTCGTATCAAATAACCAGGAAAGCAGCCTTTCGTAAAAGCTGCTCAGGCTCTATGTCTACTCACAGGTCCAGGGGCCTCGGCCTCCCTCCCTGTGAAATGGGGCGACGCACCTGTGGCATCTGGCCATGGTGGGAGCCAAGAGCTCCACCAGCATTAAGTACAAGCGTCATCGGAAGATGGCCCCCACAGCCTGGGCGAGGGGAAGAGGGGTCCTTCCACTCCAGCCCAGCCCCACCCAGACCCCGTACCTTCTCGATGACCCGATCCCCACCAAATCGCGTGACGAACTCGGCCGGGGAGGCCACGGTGAAGTCTCGGTGCAGGTCCAGCTTCTTGTGCTCACGGCCCCGCCTCACGAGGTGGAGTCCTGACATGCTCGGCCTGTGGAGAAAGACAGAGCCATGGGAGAGCGGGAAGAGCTCCGTGCAGAGGGAGTGAAGGCAATGGAGCAGCCCAGAGCTCCAGGCTGCCACCATGTTCACCTCCCAGGGACCCTGAGGCCATCAGTGAGGAGACGGGGGGAGGGGGGGGGAACCGAAGCCTGGGTTGGTGCATGAACTCAGACAGTGCGGATCCTCTTCACCTGCCCGCTCCTAATTTAGGAATAAAAAAAAAAAAAAGCCAAGCACCAGAGGTTCATGCCTGTGTTAAGTATATTATAGACTTCCTTTCTAGTTATACAATACCACCCATCTTCTGTAAGATGGAGTCTCATGAACCTCTTTGCCCAGGCTGGCCTTGAACTGTGATTCCCCAATCACTGTCTCCCAAGTAGTTGGGATTACAGACGTCAGCCATCATATCATAACAGTATCATTCCACTTCAGACGCCATCTATGACCTTCCCATCTGGAGAGATGAGGCTTTAGCTCTTCCATGCAACCTCATCCACTTCCCTCCCCAGCTGGCCAACAGCTCCAGCTGTCATTTGCTGTATTAGCTGCAGGAGCAGGGAAAGGGAAGGGAAAGGTAAAAAGGGTGTCGGGCACAAAATAAAACAGTTACATCAGTCGGGTGCTGGTGGCTCACGCCTGTAACCCTAGCTACTCAGGAGGCTGAGATCTGAGGATCACTGTTCAAAGCCAGCCCGGACAGGAAAGTCCCTGAGATTCTTTTCTCCAATGAACCACCAGAAAACTGGAAGTGGCACTGTGGCTCAAGTGGTAGAGTGCTCGCTTTGAGCTAAAGAGCTCAGGGACAGAGCCCAGGCCCAGAATTCAAGCCCCATGACTGACAACAAACAAACAAACAAACAAATAAATAAATAAATAAAAATAAACAGTTGCTTCAACACACCAAGCCAGGAGGGTGGGAGACTATGGATCTAACCTTAGCCCTATCCGCAAGAGCACCAAGCCCTGGAGTCGCCTGGTCCGTGGAGCCCAGGTCCTGCTCTCTATTTAAATGCTCTCCCCATCTGACCATGACCCTGTTCCTTTGTTCCTGAAAGTCTGCCATTTCCCTTTTCCACACACACAATCACCCATCAGTTTGACCTAAAGCACAGTGGAGAAAACTCCATTCTGCGGCTGGGGGGGGGACACCATTCACAGTCGCCATTTTGATTTCTAAGGTGGTGACAGAGCCCCTTCATCCTGCAAACCCTAAGCTGTCATTATGAACCCCAAATGCGAATAGATAAACCTGCCAGGTGGCCTTATGTCTGGTCCAGTCTCTAAGCAAGTGGCTATTTTAATTCTTTTGGACAATGCTGGAGACCAACCGAGGTTGGCTTCAGACAGCCCAACCTCCAGCCAGCCTTTGCTTCAGTTGAAGGACAACTCTGCTATGCCCTAAGCCTTCAACCCAACCCGAAGCCGGGCAACAGGACAAGCTGAAACTGGAAATGGCTTCGGGTAGCAGTCAACAACAGAGGTGCCAGCCAAACAGCACTCCGTTGTCAGCAGGAGGAACAGGGGGCACTGAACTGAGAGGACAGGAAGTGAGCAGGCTCAGAGGTCAGGGTTGGGGTGGTAAGGTGTCTCCTCACTGGCTCCAGATAAGACTGAGGATCAGAGATTCTCTGAGATAAATGAAAGCATTTCCTATTGATTAGGCTAAAAAAAAAATAGTAACAACATCTGTAATCCTAGCTATTCAAGAGTCTGAGATCTAAAGATCATGGTTCAAAGCCAGCCTCTGCAGGAAAATCTGTGAGACTCTTAAGTAGAATTGTGTGGCTCCAAGTGGTAGAGGGCTAGCCTTGAGCAAAAAAAAAGCTGAGGGACAGTGAATTTAAGCAATTTTCACAAATGACAAAAGAAGGAGGAGAAGGAGGCGGAGGAGGAGGTGGTGGAGGAGGAGGAGGAGGAAGATTCAACCTGGGCTGGTCACTCCTGCGTGTAATCTAGCTACTCAGGAGACTGAGATCCGAGGATCGAGGATCAAAGTTAGCCTAAATAAGAAAGTCCGTGAAACTCCGTTCAGGGACAGTGCCCAGGATCTGAATTCAAGCTCTAGTCACATATAAACATGTGTGCATGCGCATGCGCGTGCCCACACACACACACACACACACACACACACACACACACACAAATATAATAGGGCTTGCCCACAATGGAGCTCACAACTCTGTACCATCTGTTGTTCTCACTCTGTAAGAAGGCCATTACAGCAGCCCAAGGGTGGTACACAGGCCCCTGGCCACATCCAACCCTCAGATTTACCACCTTCTCCTCCCTCCCATGAAGCAGAAGGGGACAAACACTCCCACTGACAGATGATGGGAGCAAAGGTACTTTCTGGGCCAAATGTTTGTCTTATCATAAAGCAAGAAGGGACATTGTGTAGTCCAGCAGATAACTTCAAAACGTATCTTTTCAACAACACAAAACTAGGCTTCCTGGGGCCGAGGGTAAGGGTCCAATGCAGAGTGCCCGCAAGCAAGAGCGAGACTCTGAGTTCAAACCCTAGCGCTGCCAAAAAAAAAAAAAAAAGAAGAAGAAGAAGAAGAAAGAAAAAGGCTCCCAGACCAACAGACCCTTAGGAAAGGTTTCAGGCCACACACTAGTCCAGATCATCAAGGCAGGGGTGAATAAGCTGAGACCCATGAACCAAACCCAATTGTCCAGGAGCTTCTGTACCCTGACAGGTCAAGAAAGGGGTTCACACTGGAAAAAAAAATCCAAAGAATCCTATTTTGTGACACACGAAAATTAAGTGAAATTCCAAACTCAGCTCATTTGGAAACATTGCTTGATTGTAGTTAAGGCTGAAGGAAAGAGCAGAGTGAGCTGGTGGAGACCATATGGCTACAAAGCTGAAAATATTTACTATTTGGTCCCTCACAAAAACAGAGGGCTGCCCCGCCCCCCAAGCCAGGAAGCTGTCTGCAGCCCTGACATGAATTGCTTGAAGGAATCCAGTTGATGAGGTACAAATGGCTAACAGATCTCTGAAGAAAGGCTCCACATCCTTAGCCATCTGGGAAATGTAAATCAGAACCATACTAAGAGACCTGGGAAGGTAGCTCAGTGGTAGAGTGCTTGTGTAGCATGTGTGAAATCCTGGGTTTGATTCCTCAGTACCACATAAACAGAAAAAGCCAAAAGCGGTGCTATGGCTCAAGTAGTAGAGCACTAGTCTTGAGCACAGAAAGGCTCAGGGACAGTGCCCAGGCTCCAAATTCAAGCCCTAGGACTGGCAAAAACAAAAACAAAAAAACCACTAAGATTCCACCTCACCCTAGTCAGAATGGCCATCATCAAGAAAACAAACAGCACTGAATGCTGGGGAGGGGATCTAGGGGAGAAAGAATCCATACACACTGCCAGTGGAAATGATAACCCCACCAACATACCATTCCTGGAGAGTAATCAACAGAGAAGAGAGAAACCTGTACACCACCATCTGTCACAGCACTGTGCACAGTAGCCAAGCTGTGGGGTCAGGCTGGGTGCCCATCTGATGAGTGGATCAAGGATACACGGAAATGATATACATACAACAGAGTGCTATTCAGCCCTAAAGAAGAATGAAATGATGCTGTTTACTGGAGGGGCAGGGAATGGGTGGAACTGGAGATCATCATGTTGAGCAAGGTAAGTCAAACTCAAAAAAGCCAAATATTGGAAGTGGTGCTGTGGCTCAAAGTGGTAGAGTGCTAGCCTTGAGCAAAAAGAGCTTAGGGACAGTGCCCAGGCCCTGAGCTCCAGGCCCACAACAACAATAAAAAAGCCAAATATTGCATGTTTTCACTCATATGTGGAATCCAGACCTAAAATGATATGATAGTGGGGGGAAGGGGAGGAAAAGGAGGAGGAAATATAAGCTGGGAGGGAACCAGTTCTGTTTTTGTTTGTTTGCTTTTTTTATTTTTTTTTAGCAAGTTCTGGGGCTTGAACTCAGGGCCTGGGCATTGTTTCTAAGCTTCTTTTGCTCAAGGCTAGCACTCTACCACTTGAGCCACAGTACCCTTTCTGGCTTTTTCTGTGTACGTAGTACTGAGGAATCAAAGCCAGGGCTTTGTGCATGCTAGGCAAGCACTTTACCACTAAGCCACATTCACAGCCCAAGTACTGGGTTTTGAACTCAGAGCCTTGAGCTTGCTAAGAAGATGCTCTACCATTTGAGCCACTTGTGACAGAAAACAAAACCACAGATAAAAGGACAGTCATACTGACAAGATGTCTACCTGAATTACCCCCACTGACCGCCACTGGGAGGTAGAGATCCTGCTTCCCACAGACTTCAAAGGGTCCATTCCTGCTACCCAAGGATGGTTCATATACACATATATGTGTGTACATGGGAGGTTTACAGACACAGGAAGTGACTGGACTACAAGATGTTTTTCAACATGCTGGGGGGGAAAAAGGCAGCTTAAATTTTAAGATGCATCCTGTTACAGCAACACCCTGGACATCATGGGGTAAAGCAGGGTTGCAAAGCATTTCTGGCAATCCATAATATTTCAAGTGTTCTGGGCCAGTTCTGTCCTCTAAACAATTCCACCAATCAAGCACGAAAGGACCCACAGACTAATGCAAGTTAATGATGTGGCTATCTTCCAATAAAACTTTATTTGTGGGCCAGGCATCAGTAGCTCACATCTGTAATCCCAGCTACTCAGAAGGCTGAGATCTGAGGATCACAACTCTTTATATTGTCAATAAACCACCAAAAAGCCATAGTGGTGCTGTGGCTTACGTGATAGAACACTAGCCTTGAGCAAAAAAAAGCTCAGGGATGGCACTCAAGCCCTGATTTCAAGCCCCAGGACTGGCACACACACACACACACACACACACACACACACACAAGCAAATTACAACAGTCTACTATATTCTGCATGATACCTCTTTTTCTTCCTTCCTTCCTAACTTCCTTCCTTCCTCTCCCCCCCCTTCCTTTGGTGCCAGTACTGGGGCTTCAACTCA